CATCTGCTCTCTAATGACCACAGCAGGGCTGGGTCAGGCAGGAGTGAGGAACTCTCGGGGTCTCCCACATGACTGACAGAAGCCCAGGCACTCGGGCCATGTGCTGCTTCTCCAAGCACATTAGCGAGCAGTAGGATCAGAAATGGAGCAGCTGGCATTAGGACCCCATGCTCTGATAGGGAATGTTGGCATCACAAGCAATAGCTTAACCAGCTGTTCAGTGCACAAAGCATTAATAAGTATATTTTCCCATCTGTTTGTCAAAAAGCAACTTTTTATCTTCATGCCTTTGTATTTCTCTTTATTTTTCTCCCAGAGACTTTTTTTTTTTTTCCACACATAGTTCTCAATATTGCAGAAGTTCTGGGAGCTGAGGGCATGGTGAGTTAAACTGACCACATCAAAATGCTGGTTTGAGTCTTGGGTACTCTGCTTTTGACCCAGCTCCCAGTCAGTGAGCTTGGGGTCCCCTGCCAGCCACATGGGTGATGCACATGGAGTTCCTGCTCCTGGATTTGACCTGGCTACTGTGATTATTGAGAAAGAAATTGGTGAACTGAAGATTCTCTCCCTCTCTGTCACGCTTGTGACCCTGCACCCACATGGAAGACCAAAAGAAGCTCCTGGCTCCCAGCTCCAGCTCAGCTCAGCTTTGGCTGTTTCAAACATTTGGGGAGTGAACAGGTAGTTGAAAAACTCTCTCTCTCTATCTCTCTCTCTAAAATCTGGCTTTCAGATAAAAATAAACAAATCTTAAAAAAAAATGTATTTAGCCTTCTGCTTGGCTTCCAGCCCCTCCCAAATTGGGGGCGTGGGCATGGAGGCCATTTTCCACCTGAATGCCAACCTCCGACAGCCACCACGACTCTCTCAAGGCTCGGCTCCTTCTTGATTTATCTGCGTGCAATTACCTTCAGATGGTTGTTGTGTTTTCAGACACCAAGGACTCAATTATCAGTAAATTGTTCTTAGCAGAGAACATCCATATGGGTGCTGGTTTGAGTCCCTGCTAATGGTCTGGGAAAGCAGCAGAAGGGGCCCAAGTGCTTGAGGCCCAGCACCCACATTGGAGTCCTGAATGAAGCTCCTGACGCTTGGCTTCTGTCTGGCCCAGCCCTGGCCATTGCAAATCAACAGCTAAAAGTCTCTCTTTCTCTCTCTCTCTCTCTCTAACTCTGCCTTTTAAGTAAATATGTTTTGGGGGAAAAAAGATCCTAAAAATATGGGCCCAGCGCATGGCCTAGCGGCTGAAGTCCTCACCCTGAACGCGCCGGGATCCCATATGGGCACCGGTTCTAATCCCAGCAGCTCCACTTCCCATCCAGCTCCCTGCTTGTGGCCTGAGAAAGCAGTCGAGGATGGCCCAAAGCCTTGGGACCCTGCACCCATGTGGGAGACCTGGAAGAACTTCCTGGTTCCCAGCTTCGGATTGGCACAGCATTGGCCGTTGTGCTCACTTAGGGAGTGAATCATCGGATGGAAGATCTTCCTCTCTGTCTCTCCTCCTCTCTGTATATCTGACTTTCCAATAAATAAATAAATCTTTAAAAAAAATAAAGATCCTAAAAATAAACCATTAATTCCATAAAATGTTATAAGTCAATTAACAGGTATTTACTTTGGGGCTGGTACTGTACTAACAATAGGTGCAACAAGCCCTTTTAGATATGAGAAGTCCATCAGTTGTAGTCAGCTTAAACAAGACTGGGTTTTTAACCTCAAAATAAAAATGCTATTAAGAAACACTCATGATCTTTTTCTTTCCCTACCCTCACCCCCCCAAAAAGAATAAAACATGTAGTTACTTGTTGTCTCACAAATGCTCTACATTTATGTGGTACATTTCCTCAAGAATTTCCAAGAATTGAGGCCAGAACCACTTGCACACAAGATAAGGTCACCGAATTGCTTGCTGTTAAGTATCTCCCACTTTCTTCAGCTGATCATCTTCCTAAGAATCCCAGAGCGAATCCACTTTCACATTGACGAGAACACTGTCATGTCTGACACTGGAGCTACAAACATCAGGGGACAGAGGTGTGCTCCTTTGAGGCCTCTGATCTGCGGCCCTGCGCCGACCCCCGCCCCTCCCGGTATGGCCAGTGATGACCTCTTTTTAGGGGATCACATGCACACTGAAGGTAGGGACCGGAGTAGCCCCAAATCCAGCACTAAACGCCATTGCTTTCTTAGGGGTCACAGGAAGCACTTGTGTGTGCAACATAAAGGAGATGTCTGGAGGCTCTCGCTGCCTTGGGAGTAAATCTCATTCCCCACCTTAACCCTTAACCCTCCTCCAACACCTGCCCCAACTCACAGGCCTTTAAAGAACCAAGAGGGACCACTCCAAGGTGAAATAAGGCGTTGGCCTTCCCTTGTGTAAGTTTGGCTGCCAGCTGATTGGTAGTGGGCATGGGGGAGCGCAAATGGGAAATAATGCTACAAATGACTAGTGGCTGGTACTGTTGTATAGTGGATTAAACCAGTACTGGCATGCCATGGGGCGCTGGTTCAAGTCCCCACTGCCCCACTTTCTGTCTCGCTCCTTGTTAATGGCAGATCCGGAAAAGCTCCAGATTCATACTTGGATCCGGCCCAGCCCTCGCTGTTGTGGGCTTTTGCAGAGTAAACTATGAGCCAGTAGAGGGAGGAGTTCTTTCTCAGTCTATTTCTCTCTATAACTCTGCCTTTCAAATAAACACAATAAATACTTTCTAAAAAGTGGTCATTTTATTTATTTATTTATTTTTATTGGAAAGCCAGATTTACAGAGGAAAGACAAAGATCTTCCATCTGTTGATTCACTCCCTAAGTGGCCGCAGTGGCCAGGGCTCAGCCAATCTGAAGCAAGGAGCCAGGAGCCTCCTCCAGATATCCCAAACAGGAACAGGGTCCTAAGGCCTTGGGCCGTCCTCAACTGGCCACTCCCTGCCCCAGACCATAAATAGGGAGCTGGATGGGAAGTGGGGCAGCCGTGATAAGAACTAGCACCCATATGGGACCCTGGCATGTGCAAGGCAAGGACTTTAGCCACTAGGCTACTGTGTTGGACTTTATTTTATTTTAAAAAGGACTACAGGTTGAAATAAGCAGTTTTCTGGCACTCACTCCCATTCTAAATCTGTTATTAAAATAGAATTACCTAAAGAAAAATATTATATATGGGCTAGTTCAAGAAAAATAACTTTTTAAAAAAGATTTACTTATTTATTCAAAAGGCAGACTTACAATGAGTGACAGAATCCATCCACTGGTTCACTCCTCAAATGACCACAGTGGCTAGGGGTGGGTCAGACCAAAGTCAGGAACTCCACCAGAGTCTTCCACCTGGGTCAGGGGCTTAGGCACATCTGCAGGGAGTTGGGTCAGAGGCAGAGCAGCTGGGACTTGAACCTACACTCTCACAGGATGCTGCACCCAGGTACTGCCCTAATCTGTTGAATGAGTTACTTTGGGTCCCTTCTCTCTTCACTTAGATTTTCTAGCGTGAAATTATTCTTTGGTCACTGTGTTGCCTGACATTTAAGCCATTCTGTCACCCCATTTCTGCATCACACTCAGAATACTCCTGCTATGATGGCGATTCCCCAGGGTCCATGTGTTTCATTTCCTGAAGACCCCTCTGAATCACTCGGCCTATCACGGCATGAGGCCCTGGCAAACATCTGTGGCCTTCAGAGGTCAGGCGTTTGCTCTGTGCAGCTGGCCTGAGCCAACCCAGCACTTCATGCGCTCCCGCTGTGCACTGAGCTGGAGTCTCCAAGGGTTTGGAAAAGGGCAGCTGATACAAAGGAGGCTGCGAGTGTTTGCGGCTGGCTCATTAGTCAGTTGTCTCTCGCTTGCTCCCCAAAGGCCAGCTGGTTGCACCTAGGGCTGTCTTGATCTGATGGAGGCGAATCAGATCTGTGTGTGACTATTTTTAGATACCTCTGGAGCGGGCAAGTGTTTCAGGCCCAGGCTGGGCGTATGCGGCGTGTCCCATGTTGGTGACAGGGAAGCCACTCCCACCCCAATCCACTTCTCTGTCCACACAATTACTGTGTGTTTCCTGTGGAGCAGAGCAGAGTGCAAGAGGCTGTCCCCTGGTAACTCAGTTACCTCCATCCCGTAATTAAAGCCATTTACAATCCTTTGACCAGTATTTAATTCTAGGTGTAGGTAGTGCAAACTAATTTGTGACTTGGGGAAGAACTGTTATATTTGATCAACAATTCACTCTATCCCGTTATGAGGAGACTTCAGAGTCTGTTGAGGAAATGTAACTGAAAGCTAAGTCTCAGTGCCTGTTGTTTTTCATAATACGCATTTAGAAAAAACTTTTAGGGCCCAGCGCATGGCCTACCAGCTAAAGTCCTCACCTTGAACGCACCAGGATCCCATATGGACATCGTTTCTAATCCTGGCAGTCCTGCTTCCCATCCAGCTCCCTGCTTGTGGCCTGGGAAGGCAGTCGAGGACGGCCCAAAGCTTTGGGACCCTGCACCCATGTGGGAGACCTGGAAGAGGTTCCTGGCTCTTGGCTCCAGATCAGCATAGCACTGGCTGTGGTGGCTCACTTGGGGAGTGAATCATCAGACGGAAGATATTTCTCTCTGTCGCTCCTCTTCTTTGTATATATCTGACTTTGCAATGAAAATAAATAAATCTTTAAAAAAAAAAAAAAGAAAGAAAAAACTTTTAGAATTGGATATAAGCATTTTTTCAGTGATAGCGTTACGGAGTGAGAGGGACTCAGAGAGATCGCCTATGTTGGTTTACTCCTCAGATGACCGCAATGGCCAGGCCGGAGCCAGTAGCCAGCAGCTACACCTGGTCTTCCACATGGACACCAGGGCCCCAAACACTTGGACTGTCTTCTGCTGCTCTTTCCATCTGAATCAGTAGTGGAGCAGCTGGGACAGAAGCAGCACCCATATGGGATGTTGATATCATAGGCGGTACCTTTACTAGCTCTACCACAACACTGGCCCCAAATTATATACATTTTAAAAGTAAATTCAAAGCCCCTGAATGAGTTTATTTGGCTGAAACCTTAATTTCCACTTAAAGATTATTTAATTTCACAGTAATAAGGAGAAATGAAAATAATACTAGGAAAGAAGAGGTTTAATCAAAAATGGATTGAGTTACACTACCTGTTGAACTTTCCACAAGTATCTCTGGCTGCTTCCATTTCAATTAAAAAAATATACATTGTATAGTAGAAAATGGGAGGGTCTTCAGAAAAGCTTATTATGTTAAAAGAGCAGAAGTAACCAGAGAGTACCATTAAACAATGGTAATAACAGACTGGAAAGCAAGCTGCCAACACCAACATAGGAGTGTCCATTTCTGAAGAAAGACCCATCTGGTAGAAATTAAACCAGGGGATTAAAAAACAAAACAGAAACTCCTAAGGATCACATCTACAGAACAACAAAAAAATCCAGTTACAGAGGCTTCCAAAATTAGCACAAGGGCGTGCTTCAGGACGCAGGGAGACAGCCACGTGGTTCTGAAGAGCATTCATGCAGCTACAGTCATTCCCAGCAGCGATGAGGACACAAGTCAGCTTGCCTCCCATGCGAGGCTAAAAGGAAGCCACTCCAGTGGCTGGCCCTCCATTTTCTTCATCTTGTAAAAATACTCTGATCTAAATGACACCAGTTCCAGGGTTCTTGTATCCAGTGATGTCTTTCTTTTGACGGATTGTGTCCTACAGAAATCCTGTGTGGAGTCACAGGCATCTTCCTGGCTGTGTGGCTCTGTGGGTTAACGGAGCCGGCTGGCTCTGAGACAGCTGCGGATATGAAACAGCAGCGTTATCACTCACACACTCACTCTCACACACACCATGTAAAATGACTTTACGCAGGCAGGCAGCAGTTCTTCGTCATGATCTAGTCGGAAGCTGGGAGCTCACTACCACACGGCTTCCACAGTCTTTCAGGTCACTTGCGTCCCAAGGCCTCATTCCAAGGAGAGCTGCACACTGTCGGCGGGGCCCTGCGGCTGCTGCTGCTGGTACTCATACTTCCGTGCTAGCCCAAGCACAGCACCGACAAGGAAAAGGAGAAGAGATCATTACTGACACCGCACGATTCCTGGCCAGGATGACTGCAGCACAGTCAGGCCACTGTTCTCAGGCCAGAAGCAGTGCAGAATGAAACAACTTATTTCTCTAGAGCAAAGTTATTGTACTTTTATGACACCCTTGTTTCTCAACCCCGCTGACAGTCACTTGCATGTTTGTGGTCAGGAGCTGTCAATCAGCATTATTTAGAGCTGTAACATTCTGGGTCAACATCCATGAAGCTATTAACGCGAATGCTCTGTGATGTTCTACTCCCCTTTCCACCATAACAATGTTTTTGTCCACCCTAGATTTATTGTTGAACATAAATGCCAACAATATAAACCAGTAGGAAAAACAATTGTAGCATCCTTTTATTTGTACTTTTAAGAAATGTTTATCGATGTAAAGCCATCTTAACCTGAAACTGGAAGGAAAAAAAAAAATACTGCATGACTGAAGGTCCATGTGAATGGTATCCACTGCTTAGCTTTAAAACTTCAACTTCTTCTAAAATTTCACTCACCAAGAAAGGGATACTCATGGTTGATGCTGCTCAGGGTGGATCTAGGCTTCTGTGGCATTAACCTTGCAACTCTGGGACCCACAAAAGGAATTTAGTTTGGAATTCTCTCTCCAACCACCAGACTCTGCCGGGCAAGCTACATCCCAAGATATGCACTAGGCTGGGGTTCACGGAATGTGCAGATCTATCACACCTGCTCCTAAGAACAATGGCTTCAGAGACGCCCGTGTTCCAACGCTGTAGCCTGGGAACATACCTGGCAGGGCAAAGGGGCACTGAGATGTGATTAAGGTAAAGACTTTGAGCTGGGCAGATTACTCAGGATTACCTGACTCAGCCAAATCACATGGGCCTGAAAATCAGACACGCTTGCCACACTAGGTTCCCAGGGAGAGGGAGGGAGACAGAGCAGTACGGGGCTACCAGATCTGGAGACAGGGCATGTGCAGAGAAGAAATGGAACCTCCAGCCCTGTCAGCCTGCTGTGGGATACCCAACCCACACAGCTGCAGGGTGACACTTCTTATTCATAAATCTTACAAATGTTCAGAGAATTTTGCACATTTTTACTTACTCATCTCCATTTTATTTGAAAGGCAGAGAGTGTGTGAGAGAGAGAATAGAGATTTTCTAACTACTGGTTCACTTCCCAAACACCTGCAGCAGAAGGGGTTAGGCCACATTGAAGACAGGAGCTGGGACTCCCACATGGGTGGCAGAGCCCGAGCCCCCAAACCCACCCCCCCATGAAGCACCTTAGCAGGAAGCCAAGGTGGAAGCACAGGAGTCAGGGTGGAGGGTTCCTAAGCAGGGCCTTAACTGCTAATCAAAGGCGGGCCCTGTAATCCTTCCGGATGATCTTTTACTCAATGGAGTCCATTTTTATAGCATTTGTTGTAAACATGATGTTTGTGTATATAGCTCAGCATGTCATATACTTACAAATGGAATACATCTCCAGTTGTTGTCTTAAACGAATTTTGCTGATTGTGTCATAGAAGTTGGGCTCTGACGAAGCTGCTTCTGTGGGAGGCACGCTAAATATCCTCATTATTCTCCTTTTATTCCTAAAACACAAAATCAGTATGGCAGAGAGATCGGTGTGAAAGCCACAAAATGATCAGTTTTATGACCTCAATCAGCAGCAGCTCCATTAAAGGGACTAACATGACAACCAGCCTGCTGGATTTTCTATTTCGTCTTTGTGAGACACTTCCTTGCCTAAAATGAAGGGTACAGTGTCCTGGATGCCATGTGGGACACCACCCAGAATGTCCAGGTGGGAGTCCTGGCTCTACTTCTAATTGAAGTTTCTTGCTAACGTGACTGGGATGCAGCAGGCAATGGCTCAAACACATGAGTTCCTGCCACTCACATGGAAGACCTGGATTAAGCTCTGGGTAACTGGCTATGGCCTGGTTCAGCCCTGGTGTTGTAGTCCCCTGTCGTCTGTCTTTTCCTTTCACATAAAAAGTAAAAATGAATGAAAAATTATGAGGCTATACACATCCAGTCCCAGGGCTGTGGGAGAGAAAAGGTGACAGCTCCACTCATCCATCTAACACAATGAAGTGTTTCCATCACCACCTTTCCAAACCTTCTCCAAGCCAGTCAGTGCAGGGCAGACATGCACAAGCAAAGAGACACCTCCTGCTGCTTTCCTCTCATGTCATCTAAAGAAAGATGAAGTACTGGGGTTGGGAGGACAAGCTGAACTTCAGCACACGCTGATTCCTGAAAATACTGAATAAAAATCTACCTCAGCTCTAACAACAGCCTGGCCTTCCTGTGTACATCCATTGAGAATCAAGGCGGCACATGTTTGGTGTGGTGACGAGGCTGTGCATTCCGACACTAGCACCCCACGCTGGAGTGCCTGCAGGGATCCACCCCCCAACTCCACTTCCGACTCCGACTTCCTGCAGGTGAAGTGAACCCTGGTGAGGGTTAGCAGGGCTGGGTTCCTGCTCCTCTTATGGCAACATCTGAGCTGTATTCCTGTTTTCCAGCTTTGGCCCTGGTCCCTTGCACACATCTGGGAAGGGAACTGTGGGATGGGACTTTTCTTTCTCTGTCTGCCTCTCAAAATAAACACTGCAAAGCACAGCGAGCATGCTTTTGCTTCAGAAAGGCAAGTGGGGAGGAGGCAGCAGCTGTTGCGAGCAGCAGACTGTTACCTGCAGATTGCTCAGTGCAGATGTGCGGCATCTCCTCCCACCACCAACCTCCCCAAGTTCCCGAGGCCAAGGGCCAGAAAAGGCATTTCCCCCAGTTACTGCCAGTCTGGAGCAGACACAGCCCAGCCCATTCACACTGCTCTTCTCTCTAACGCACACTCTCTAGTTTTGTTTTGTTTTTTTAACTAGGCTTAGGGGAAGAGTGCCAGGGAGTGTGGAAGAGAACAGTTACATGAATTAGGCTATGACATCTGGCAATAAGGCAGGACACACTCATTGAGGATTTACGCCACCCGGCACACCTAGGACACAAAGGTGAAAGCCAAGGTCCTTGTTCTCAAGTGACTGAGGCTTCTGTGGGATGGACAGACATGTAATCAGACAAGGATAGCACTATGTTTAAACAGCACTATGGCATTGTCACGTTTAGGCTAGGCAAAGATGTGCTACAGATGTGCTCTGGATACACTGCAGAGACCTGGGCCAAAGAAACATGGGCCAAATGACAAAACTGGGCTGTTCTTACACCTTCCCACTGAGCCACCACAGCAGCCCAGGAATGGGGTTTTCAAAGTTCTGCCTTGGCCATCAGTGCCTGAAGGAGATGAGTGGAGATAGTACCTGCTTTTCAGGGCGGGAATGGCATTCTCCCTGACACTCGGGATCATCCTGCCTGAGCTTGTGAGTGTGGGAGAGCCTACCTCTTGGCATACATGAAGAGCCCAAAGCTGACAAGGATCACTATCAAGTAGACATTGGTGGCTTCATTCCAGGCCTCGTGCACTGTGTAATCCATGGAGCTGTCATCTTCCATCACTCCGTAACTGGCAGCCATAGGCTGAGAGAGACAGAAAGAGAGGAAATCAGTGCTTGCTTTTCCCACGTGTGATGTGTGACCCTCTGGCTCTGGCTTCACACTGCCCTGGCAGTGCCGTCAGCGAGGGTTTTACCTAATCACCTGACATGGCCCGCTGAGCACAAACTTGTTTTCAGTGTGGCCCATGGAGAGCAGGCAGACCAGTATGTAACATATCCCCCTTTCTTCTGGACTTTGGAACAGCACAACCTCCAACAGGAGGGTAGGTGAAGACAATGGCCCCCCCTAATTGGAACTGTCACCCAGATCAAAGCCACGCTGCCTCAGATGAGAACATCTGGCTATGACACTAAGAGAACAAGGTGGCACTCAGGACCACAGAAAGGACCCCGGGGCTGTGTCCTTCCTACCCCAGGACCTCTCCATCAACTGTGGCATGGCGCTCAGGCTGGAAGGAGGCAGATGGGATAAAAAGTGACTTTTTGCTATTTACACAGCTGTGTCTTCTATTCAAGGAAATGCATTCTTGAGACATTCCCACGGACCCCTAGGAGTGGTAACATCAAGTATTATCCAACAGGGAATAAGAGTAACCGAAGGCTTTGACCTAGTCTGAGTGCAAATGATACACTGTGCGAGGAAGGGGAGAAGGTGAACAAATGCTAGCTGATCATGGCGTCTCTAGGAACAAGACAGTCCATCATTTCTAGATACCAAGAGTCTCTGGAATGGCTGAGCTGCCACCCTGCAAGTCCCCAGGCCGCTCACAGCAGGGAGACATTCCTCCACCCAGCACCTTGAAGTGCAACCACGGGGAGCCTGCAGGCTTTGTTCTTGCACGTAGGGCTCAGCGATCAGAACCAGCCTTCCACTTCCCTTCCTCTCCGGCTCTCCCTTCCCGGCATCTGAAATTTCATTCACTTGCAGTGAGCGTCAATGACGACATTTCCCTTAAACTTTGTGCAGGGAGAGAGCGTTTTCTTTAGAATATCCACCTATATCTCATGAACACAAAGACTGATCTCCCGCAACCAGCAGGGGAACAGTGACAGCACAACACACATTTTAAAAAACAAGACATTAGATCTAAATACATAAACATTAGACCACACTCAATTCCTATCACAAAGGTTATTATTATTTTTTAGCTTGCTTGAGAGCAGGAGGCACAGTTCAGTTTACCCCTTCAGACCCAACAGCAGCATCTGTCTGGATGTGAAAGCATGACTTCACAGCACGTCATCAGCTTGCTTTCAACACGACTTGGAAAAGCCCACACTCCACAGCCATCAGCCTGACTTACAGTAAGCTCAAATTCTGCTTGTGCCAAAGCATACAGTGGCAACAGCCATATTTGGCTTCCAAAAACAAACAAACAAACAAAAAAGCTGTCTTAAAGCAGCTGGAACAGTACAACGTTGACAGCATTTAGCATGGGAAATTGCTAACAAACCTGGAAGAGAATGGTGGGCAAGACTGCAATGGCCGCAATGTATGCAACCAGTTCACCTGCTGTCTCCTATTTTCCAGCTGCCCAGTGGCACGAATAGGCTGCCTTGTTGCTCACATACCGCTCTGGGAAGTGCTGGTGTCTCTATCACAAGCCTGACTTCCTCCTGTTGCTCCTTCATGATCTTTAGAAAAGGATTTCCAACTCCTGCTGACCCAGAATGGCCATGTTTTCACATGAATTATACCATGGGACTGGTCTACAGCGGCACATATCTTCCAGGGACATGCCACTTGAGTTATTTTTAGCAATGTGGTTGTGAAAGATTTGCACCAAGGACCTGTCCTGTCCTCAGTAGCGACAGGGCCGCCCCTCCCTGCAGGACACGGACCCAGCATGTGTGTACGTACACGTACACACACACACACACCTGTAGCCACTGACTGACCCGCATACCACCGTAGTCCTCCTCTGGAGTTGACAAGAAAAAATGCCCAGGGCTGTGAGCATGCCCACTCCTGGCAAGTTAATGTTTTAGCAAGATCGCCAATACAGCCAGTCACGCGCTCAGGCATGTCAGTCGGGGCTGTTTGGTGGAGAAAACTGACCTTTTCCCACTCTGACCCCACCCCTGCTTTTCCCTGGAATTTCAGGCTTGGAGGTGCTGAGAGGCAACGAATTCAGTCCGCAAGCAAACTCCAGACACGTTCATTACCAGGGCCTGATTTAAGTCGAGACTCAAGGATTTGGGAGGGACTTTCTGTGACTCTAACCTCGTTGTTGGTTATGAAACCAGGCCATCGCTTGTTCTGGTGTCCTACAGAAAACCTTATTTTCCTGCTAGAAATCCAGGTTGGGGTGACTCAGTTTGTTTATAATAGAGAACCTGATGGCTTCTTTTTTCCCTGCTCTGAGAAGATGGTGCAAGCCTGGAGCCCACAGGGCAAGCACACCTGGCCCAGGTAACCAGCATGGGGCAGGGTAAGGCTCCTCTAGCACGCAGGGGACCCACGGGTGTGGGTGTGGGTGTGGGTGTAGCTTGCATAAGTTGGTCACAACCACTCCTAGAGCGTGCGGGTGGTCTCTCTCTCACACACACACACACATGACATGCATACACCTGACAGTTACACAGGACACACACAGGACACTCATACACCTGACTGCCACACATAAGACATGCATACACCTGATGGTCACACACAGGACACTCACACACATCTGATGCCCAAACACACACACAGGACACGTGTATACCTGACTGCCACACACACACAGAGGACACAGGTACACCCGACTGCCACACACACAGGACACGTGTACACCTGAACACCTGACTGCCACACACACGGGACATATGTACACCTGACTGCCACACACAGTCACACGTACACCCGACTACCACACACACACTGAGGACACACGTACACCTGACTGCCACACATACAGGACACGCGTACACCTGATGGCCCCACACACACACACACAGGACACGCATACACTTGACGCCCACACCTCAACTCTGGCCGCGGCCCCGACCTGGCCAGGTCGCCCAGCTCCTCCCGGATAACACCGGGTGTCAGCCACAGGCCCTGCGTCCTCGCCGCTCGGCGCCTCAGCCCCCGACCCTGCGAGCGGGCGGGCGGCCAGGGCAGGTGCGCCGGGCTGGCGGCCTCCGGGCCCGGGGCGCTCCGGCCGGCCCCTCCCCGCCACCCCCGCGCGGTGCGGGCGGGCCGGGGCGGGGCGGAGGCGGGGCCGGGTGACGCGGGGCCGCCGGCACCGGGAGGCGCGGGGGGACCGGGGCCACTCACGCTGCTGGCTCCGGAGGCGGCACGCGGCTCCGCTCGTGGGGAGGCTCTTTTCCCCGGAGTCGCGGCCCCGGGGCGCGCCCGGACCGGTTCACGGAACGGACCCGGACGACCTCTGCCTTCGTCATTTCCTGCCGGCCCGTGGGTTTCCGGATGAAACGAGGAGCCAGGTCTTTTTTTTTTTTTTCCCCTTCCTCTCCCCCTACCCCGCCCCCCACCCCGTGTCAGTTTTTAAACGGGAGCGACGCCGCGACGGCCCCGGTGCCGCCCCCCGGGCGCGTGAGTGAGGCCCGTTGCCCTCCCCTCCCCCGCGGCGCCGCCCCGCCCCGGCCTCGAACCCGCGGCCCGCGGGCGCCCAGCGTGGGAGGAGGGGTCGCGTTTCCGTCCCGAGGGCGCGCAGGGGGCGGGGCGGGGCAGCTCTGCACGCGGGGCCGAGGCGAGGGGAGCGGTTGTGAGGCCACGGTTGCATCGTCAGGTTCAGTGACCTTGGGTTTTTTTTTTCTTTTTAAGACTTTGGTGTAGCTTCTTAAAAAAAAAAAAAATGCACACCCCCTCACGTGCCTTCCGGCCTCGGGGCCGTCGCGGTGTGGTCCCCGCCCCCGGGATGGGGAGATGTCCACCTCGCCAGGTCCGTGGCCACCTGCTGCAGACCGGGTCTCCATCGCAGGCGATGAGGCTCCCTCCCACACGAGCTGACAGGAAGTTATTGCTCGGTGTGGAAGCGCACCTGTGCCTGGATTGAAGCCGCTGCTTGCTGCAGCCACGCGCCAGGCTTATTTAGGGTTCTGGCTCGTGCTAGGGTCCACCTGATCCCTAATGCCTGCGCCTCTTCCTGCTGTAGAGTTGGACTGTAGGATTGGAAGAAGGAACAAGTGATGCCAGGCAGTTGGGGGGGGGCGGTGCCAGGCCTGGACCCCCCGGGGTCTCAGGGGACCTGCAGGGATATCTTATACCCCTGCCCCCTACATCTCCTCCCGCCCCTCAGAAAAAGCACAGGTTGCTGAAAAAACAAACAGAAAAAAGCCAACAGTGCTTGAAGACATGGGTTACATTTGAAGGGATCTGAATGAGGAGTAGCAGGACAAGTACCTGACTGCACTTTTGTGCAAGGAGGATATTGGTATAAAATGACTCAGAATCAGTGTGTATTCGAGTTGAGAAGACTGGTGTTGAAAGTCCTGCAGTTAGCTCCTGACTGAGGTACTCCGTCGTTTCTGAGTTCCCGCTGTCTGTCACTGTCACCTAAAGAACAGGTTGTGCCAGGACGTTGGAGGATGGCTCCCTTTTAGAAGCTCCTCTCTTGCTATATTTAATGTCTGTGAGGGTAAACAAACGACACAATGGAATATGAAGGCCAGTTTTTCACTGTTGAAGCCTGCATAATATCAACGTGCATATGAGTGTTAATGGTACATTATCTCCATTGTAGGCAGTTGGAGAAGGTTTGTGTGCCAAGTTTTTTTTTTTTTTTTTGTTTGGCTTGTGGTTTAATATCTTCAGCAATTATTCAGTGGAAAGTCCAGTCATTTGAGCATTCAGGAATGAAGTTTTGATTGGATTTAATTATTTAGTGTGGCTTCCTAAATCAGTCGATGACTTAATTGGCTGTGTAGTTATGATGGTGGTGTGTGTTACGGTCTTGTATTGAAAGGGTTGGGGATGATGGGGCATGGCCTTGTGTCTTACGCTGATTAAAGCACGTTGGAACTGAAGCTGTCCGTTTGGTAGTCCATGGTTTGGGAAGAGGAAAGGATTAAGAATTCTCTGTCAATATTTGCACGAGTTCTTTCTTTGAGAGGCGGGCTCCTTGGGGAAGGAATGGTAGAGTTGTCATGTGAAAGGAGAAGAAAATGCCCCTTTTTTTAGTGCTTGGTTCATCCTGCCTGATTCTGGTGCCTGATTCTGTCATCGTGTGCATCTTGAGGCAGTTTTGATGTCTGTGAGTGATTGTAAGTAGAGGGAGGTGGGTTCTGGAGAGTAAAGCAGAGGGGTGCCAGGCAGAACATGGGTTAGTAAGCCGCATGTAGAATCTTGCAGAAGAACTACTCTAATCATATTGAAGATCTCTTACACGCTGTTTATATCAAGACATGTGGAGAACATCTCCTTCATGTGCTTTATGGGCAATGAAACCAGTTTAGAATACCGTGTGTTACAGTCTGTGAACAATGATTGACTTTCTCATAGCAGCTGTTTGTTTGTGTTTGGAAAGCTGTGGAGCTGGAGTGACAGCCCTGACCCCTGCTGCCCCTGTTGGTAGCACAGGAAGAGAAGCACCACCCCCACCAGACCTTGCTCTCTGGGGAGCCCCTGAAGCTGAGTGCAGACCCTTCTGCCTTACTGCTCTGTCCCCAGGGCCTAGCATGGAGATGTTTGTAGGACCCCCCAGACTGGACTTGCATGCCCTCTTTGGGGTGCTGAAGACCCCACCTCTGTGCAAGGCTGTCCGCTGCCCTGCCTGTTGCCAGTCTAGCCCACCAGGAACTCTTAGAATATAAACTGTTTGTATCACCTTCTTGGGCATTTGTTTCCTTTTTTTAAAATTGTAGGTTTTTTTTTTTTTAATTCCTTCCTAAAAAATGATTTATTTAGAGAGCTTCCATGTGCTGATTCACCACCTCAGAGCCCAAGAGAGCTGGGGCTGGGGACTCATTCCTGGGCTCTGGCAGGGGAGTGGGCAGGAGCCCAGCCTCTGTGACATCTGCTGCTTGTTGGGGCGCTCAGCAGCAGGAAGGGAGGCTCTGGCCCAGGTGCTCCCACCGTGACGCCCAACATCTGCTCCCTCTTGGGCACTTAACTATTGCAGCTCAGAGCCAGGGAGGACATGGTACTCTTTTTGAGACTGGCCTTGGTATCCATTGTGCTAATACAGGCAAGCTACGTTTGTACCAATTGAGCAAACATCCGATACAACAGGGAGACATCAGAGCTGTTTAGAGTAGTAGGTAGTCCGTAGGACAGACCTATGGGGTCCATGTGAGACAGCGTGAGAATTTGGAGCTAAATAAAATAAGAACTACCAGCCATACAGTGCTGGAGCTGTGTCAGACATCACAGCAGGTGCCTTTATATGTTAACCTATTTGAATCTCAGAACGATCCTTTGAAGTAGGTAGAGCTATTCTCCTTTTTCAAGGGAAGTGGAGGCAGCAGAGATTCAGACTCTGTCCGAGGTTGTGATGAAAGTAATGACAGGCAGTGAGGTCCCAGGGTCAGGAAGGTGTCTGTTGGGATTGTTGCCTGCCCTTGGGAGACCTGAAAGTTGATCCCTCAGAAGATGCTCTCTTGAAAATTTGGAAGGCCTGGGAAAGCCCACATGGCCTCCGAGCTGCGAGAGAAGGTTGATACTGACATGACTAGGAGGATTCCGACCATCGATGTGATTGAAGGCAAGAGGGCAGAAAGTGGGTGCTCGTTGTTTATAGTTGTGGAATTCCAGCACAATGGACGTTATGAACTTAGTGTCAGAAAATCTAATGACATAAAGTAATGCCGAGTGACGCTCTCTAGCTGGCTACTTGTTTTGTGAGTGCCTCCTCAACGTAAGCCCTAGCGGTCAAGCTGATGTGCTGGGTGCTTCGCCAAAGGGGTCCTGGGGATCTCTAATGGGTGCTGGCCTTTTCTGGGGAACCTCTACCCGCTTGTCCAGCTTGTTCCAAGCAATGGAGACTGCTGCTACAGGCAGGGATGCTCATCCAACCAAGTCGTGCTTTTTGGTGGGAGAAAGGAAAACAAGCAAACAAACAAAAAAACCCAACCAGTAAAACTGTGTTGTTGATTTGATGACAAACTTTGAATAAAGTCAGTTTGAAGCCATGCGGAATTAGATGAGGGTCTGCAACCAAAATCCATCAAGACGAAGCAGCGTGTTACTCTCTCAGAACCCAAATGTGTATCCCTTCTGTCAGAAGCAGACGTTAGTTTTTGGGGGCGTCGGGCACCCGCAGTCACTGAGTCTGAATGCCGCGGCAGATAGGGGACTGTACACCTCGCCACTCAGCCGCCGTGTGGGCAGCAGAGGAGGAAGTGCCCTTGAAGCCAGCCGGGGCCGCAGAGCTGGTCGGCAGCCAGGGAGGACACGCGCTCTGCAGGTAGAGTATTCCGTGTTCCAGTTCTGCTCCCCTGGGAAGGGTGGGCTGCCTTTGGTTTGGGGTTGGCCACTTCATCTTAACAGCCTACATAGAGGCAAATATTGCCCTACAATTTGTGATCTGCTTACATCTCTGGGAGCTAATGTGCAAAATTTAAGTCAAAATAATTTGTGTTGAAATATTTATCCAATTGACATGTTGGCCTTCACCTTCATATCAGACTCTTTCCCCAGGAGGTAGTTTTCAGAGGGAAAGAAAATGATAAGCCAGTTGGTTGATGGGTGTCTGACCAAGCTCAGGGGACCTAGTGCCATCTTAGCCCCTTTTGTTTATTATATGGTTGCAGAGTGGCTCCCGACATGATGCAGTTCTTCAGCCAGGAGTGTGTCACAGAACGGCCCCACATTTTGTTTTTATAGGGACTAACACATGTCTCCAGGCCAGAACAGGACCTGGGCAGCTGTATTTTAAGCCATGTTCAGACAGCTGTGGTGCCAGTTTGCCTTGTAAGAAAGTAGAACAGAAGAAGCCGATGCCCAGAGCCAGTTCTGTGGCACCAAGCCTTTATTATCAGTAGATGAAACAGGTTTTCAGAATCCTGTGGCTGGAAGAGGTTTTCCAAGTTAGCAGCTCAGTGACTGACTGGACCACTGAGTTTCAGCCTATTACCTCATGCTACTTCCCAGTAAGATGGGAGCACAGGGAGGTGGCATTCGCTGCATATGTGTCCTGCCCTGGCCTTGGTGAAGATTCGAGAGCCAATCACGAGGGGCTTTGGACAGTCAGAAACAATGCTTTTTGTGAATCTCAGAAAGTGTTGATTTGTTTGCAACAGTATTGATCTACCTTGTTGTGGGGCCTTTCTTAGTATTTTGGAAGGTGTCTGTTTAAAGCTGAAGTGACACATTTACAATTTCTCTTTGAATTAATTTTCAGTCTTTGCTAAAAGATTGTGGGAGAATTTATAGTGCATCATTATATTTCTTATTTTCTTTTTAATTTGGTTGATTTTTAATTTTCCGTTTTCTTCAAGGCACCTCACCTTGGAGCAGCAGGACTGGCTTGCATGTCATCGTTGGTGACTGTCTCTGCCTACGCTCACGAAAGACCAGTGGCCCAGGCTTGCTCATTCAGGAAGTCTCCACCAGCCTGCAAGGGGCAGCCGTTGCAGATGTCCACCGTGATGTGTCAGGGGCTGGGAGTGAACGGAGTAGCCAGATGACTCAGCAAGAAACCCCCGGAAGGTTGGCAAGAGCAGAACAAAAGGCACATTGCACGGAGCCGCTCGGGGCCATCTGGGATTCTCCGGCAGCTGCAGATGGCCCTGAAAGTGCCCCGCAGGAGACAGGGCACCCTTCTTGACATGCTCCTGGCGTTATCTCTGTGAACTTACCTGCGTGTGTGTGTGATGTCCTTTTCAGAGCTGCCCCACCTCGTCACCTGCTTCCGATCAGGTGTTATTCAGAGGCGGCCATGGGGCCCCACTCTCAGGCCTCTGGTGAGTTCCCACTGCCTGTTGATGAACCCACTGTGGCCATTCATGCCCACCAAGCACCACGCCCGTTCTCACCGCTCCAGGCTGCTCCCAGCCTCCACACCGCTACTCTTGAACGATGTTTTTGACACTGAAATCTGATTACCCTACTTTTTTTGTTTTAATTGAAAAATAAGAATGCTATCTTCATCAGCAGACCCCTGGTACAGTTGCTGTCCTGTTCTGGGCTGTTTTCCAGTACCAAGAATGAGATAATCACTATTCTCCTTAGCATTGCCCCTCTGTGCTGCTTTGATGTCCTTGCACAGCACTTGTTGTGTTGTGTTGTTGCTGTTGCTCTCATTTTCAAGGTGGGATGAAGGGGCTCTCCCAGGTCTGTTGTCAACTATGTAGAGTATCTTGGGTAGTAGAAATTTCTAGAGACCCCGCAAAATCTTTCAACCTCTGTGTCATCTGTGTTGATGTAAATGTTGCCTTCCTACCCTTTTATGTTTGGGGAAGCAGGAAGAGGCAGGGTGTCCCAAAATGCTGGTCAGCACAAAACAGGGGAGGGTGCTTAGTAGATGAGGCAGCATGCATGTGGATGCATTGGCAGCAGCTCGTTGGTTAGCGTGAGAGGAATGTGACATTGCTGCACCCATTGTTGGTTAGTGTGAGGGGAGTGCGACATGGCTGCACCCATTTTCAGCCCTTCTTACTCATTGTAAGCCAGTGACCACCTTCATAATTTTTTGTCCTATAAACTGAGGCATTTCCTTTTAGCCAAGTTTTACTCAACAATGAGAAATAGTAAGCAAAGAAAGAGGCTTTTTTTTTCCCGTAAGCCGTCTGGCTGTTTCCGTACTTGCTTTCCCATCAAGTCTGTTTGCTTCATTTCCTCATCCCTCACCCTCTCCCCACTGCTCCTCTGACGACGGCTACCTGTGACCTGGGCCTGCCTATGCATTTTTTTCTTATCTCTCCAGAATTTCTTGTTTGATATCTTTGAACTTTGCCAACTCCCCGCTTTTTCTGTGATTCAGCCTCCCCCTTACCCCCTTCTCTTCAGGGCGTATTTATTTGACAAAGAGAGAGGGAAACTGCCCTTCTGTCCACAGGTTCACTTCAAGTGGCTGCCACGGCCAAGCCTGGCCAGGGACCTGAGCCCTTGGGCCACCGGCCGTAGCTTTCCCAGGCGCATTAGCAAGGAGTAGATCAGAAGCGGGGCAGCCAGGAATGGATAGCCACAGGGTAGTGGCTTAGCCAGATGTACTACAATGCAAACCCCCAATTCCGTTTTTCTGTGTGTCGACCTGAGCATGCCTCTGACCTGTTGGTCTGTGTTGTTCTTGAACACCCGCTCAGCGCCTGACCTCTCTGGCTCCTCCTGACTGTGGTTGTGGACTCTGTTCTACCATCCTGACATCTGACCTAGCTCTCTGTACCTTCCTGTTGGTTAGTTCCTGCACTTGAAGGTGCCGTGTGGTGGTCCCGGAGTTTGTGTTCTGGTCTCCTTGTCATTGGCTGTTAGGTGGATTTGCCTGACTCTGTATTTCCTGGGTAGCCTGGATGAATCAATTATTATTAACTTTTCTTGGAACGTTAAACTTCCCATGTTTTCTATTTCTAAGAATTATATGGTATTCTAGAAGACTCATATTACTTTAAAAAGAGGCAAGATAGTCCTGAAGAACTGCGACGTTCATTCCTCCCTGGTCTTGCAAGACTGAAGAACATCCAAAGCAATCTTGGAGAAAGTGGGGCAAGGGCAGCCAGAGAAGGTGGCACTAAGGAGTGGTCCAGAAGCATCAGCTTTACTGCCTATCAAAGGCCTCCCTAGAATAGAGGGGAAGTCATTCCGTGAAGCAGTTTCACATTGCATCATTTGCATTTTTACATTTCCCTTGAAGTTCAGGGACCTTGAATGCTTAACAAAACAGAGACTTGATCTTGTAAATATTCCTTTGTTTTTTTTCTTTGAGAGACTTGATGTCTCCTTAAATATTAACCTGTGTCATTTTGTAATTACACTGTAACATTCTCAAGATTCTTGTGTGGGAAAGCACATCAGTTGTGGAGTCTTGCCCCTCTGGACTCTGTAATTGTATTGTAATCAAAAGATGGTTTTTGGCAAGACTTTATCTTGTGCTGTTAATTTCTATTTTCCCTTATTTCCCCCCCTTTATTCTTTTACTTGCGTGAGTGGGAGACTATCCTGTAATTTAGTTTATTGACGTTCCTAATGTCTGTGAGCTGCTGGAGGTAGACTCATGCAAGTGTAGTTCTGAAACTTGAAAGAGAAAAACCCCACACATCACATATTTTGTGGTGTTTGATCAGAATACAGGCCAGGATTGTGGTGCAATGAGTTAAGCCACTGCCTGCAATGCCAACTTCCCACGTGGGCACTGGTTTGGCTGCTCCAGTTTTGCTGCCAGTTCCCTGATGGTCTGAGAAAAGCAGCAAAAGATGGCCTAAGTGCTTGGGCCCCTTCCCCAGGTGGGGCAGACTGCAAAGAAGCTCCTGGCTTTGGTTTGGCCTACCCCTGGCTCTTGGGTGGCCATTTGGGGAGTGAACCAGTGGATAGACTGTTCTGTCGCTCCCTTTCTCTATAACTCTTTCTTTCAAATAAATCAATCTTAAAAAAGAGAAATGAGAAAGCAAAGTCCTTGCAAGCCCGTCACACTTTTTAAAAACGGTATAAAATAAGAATAGCCCTGCACGTGTTCCTACTGCTGAGCTTTTTTAGTTCCGACAGTGGCAGTCAGGCTTCTCGGAGCTGCAGAAGCTCTGGGCCGGCAGTGTCCTGTGATGTCCACCTCTCATGGCGACAGCCTCAGCCACAGTCAGGCTGCTTGTGGGGATTTATATAACTATGCTTTCTAGGCCTGCGCTGTGAGATGGACAAGACACGGCCACTCTGGGAGCTTACAACTGAGTGTTTAATAATACCCATAAAGTGGATGACTATAGTACGTTGAGGCAAATTATAAACATGTATATATAGCAGCCACTACAGAAATAGATGAGTAGGAAAAGTCAGCATGGGTCATAACTCTGAAAACATAACCTGACATAAACCTGTCTGTCCCGTATAACTTGTGTGCATTGGGCAAGTTACCTCAAGTAGTCAACCAGGGTTTTCCCCTCCGTGCAGTGTTGATGCTATCTGGTAGTTTTGACATATCAGTAAGTGAGATAGTCTGTATGAGATACCAGTGTGGTCTCTTACTCAGGCGTTGCTTAGTAAGCATCCAGTAGAAAACAACAAAAAAAGAAGACAATGCCTTCTGGAGAGCTATACTCATTACAGAGATAATGTGGATGCTCTAAATGTTTGTAATTCCCACATTAAATGAACTTTCATATGTGTTTGTTTTAAGATCTATTTATTTGAAAAAAAAAAAGAGGGAGTGATGAAAGAGAGAAGTGTTCCATCTGCTGGTTCACTCCCCAGATGGCTGCAGAGGCCAGGGCTGGGCTTCATCCCGGTATCCCATAGGGGTGGCAAACATCCAGGCACATGAGCCATCTTCTGCGTTCCCAGGCAAATAGAGTAGCTGGCACACTAAACAGTGTCCTTATGGGACGCTGGTATCAAAGGCAGCAGCTTAATTTGCTACGCCACAAGCCAGTTCCACTTTTATGGTTTTTAAGAAAACCACCCATATTGTGCTGTAGTTAATCTCTTTTTTGGTCAAAAGTTGATTTAGCTGAATCTTTTACCAGATGCCTTTCTCAGTGAGAATTGTCTGTTCCCAGAAACCAGATCCATTTTCAAAAAAAAAATCTTAAAAGTTTGTAACAGTTAAGCATATTTGACAAAAGTATACTGTTGAGTTCACATTCTGTTCAGTCATAAGAATGTCATCTCTCCCGACTGCTGTTAGGAAAGTTAGAGTGTTTTTGGGAATATGTTATCTCCAAATCTTGTGTGGTTGTCATCCCAAACTGTGTTACGTATAGCAACATGCAGCTGTTTCCTATGTTGTGTATCTGTATTTGAGATTTCAGCAAAGGTAGTTTTTCATTATTATTTTGAAAGGTGTTGTTGATGAACCTCCCTTAACAGAATCCATCTGAACAATCTGCATTTAAAAACAAAATCTGAGAGGCGAAGAAGTGGAGTGTCCATTTCTGACCGGCGTCCTCAGATGCCTGCACAGCAGGGATGGACCAGGGCCAAAGCCAGGCCTGCCGCTTCCCTGAGCCATCTGCCACTTCTCAGAGTCTGCAGGAGCTGGGGTCAGCAGCTGTGGCCTGCCACCAAACCTGGGCACGCCACTGTCATCAGCTGGTCATGTCAACCGTTAGGCTCAATGCCCACTGAATCTAATATGCCCTTTTGATGCAGTAATGGGCACAGGAATCCAATATGATCTGGCTTATGTTTGATTAGCTCCCCCAGTTACCATATAGGTCTATGACCCTAGTCTGTGTGATAAATCAAATTGCATACATTTTTCACTCAGGACAGATTCCTTCTCACTTGCTTTGTTTGCCTTTGTAAAAGCTCATTAATCCTGAGTGTTAGCACACTTGTCTTTTACATTGTGATTCTCTGTGTTGTATGAATTGTAATTGGGTAATTTTAAAACATCAGTACAGTGAACATTTCGTTTTAATAGATCCAACCAACGTCACTTAACAGTACTGAAAAATAAAATTGAGTCTGTACTAAATATCCACAGACTGGTTTTTGTTATCATCACCTCCCAAACAGTACAGTACAGCCACCATTTACATTGTGGTAGGTGTTAAAAGTAGCCTAGAGATGATTTAAAGTGGAAGGGAGTGTGTGTGTGTGTGTGTGTGTGTGTGTGTGTGTGTGTGCATGTCTGTGTGTGTGTGCGCGCAGTATACAAACCCTACACCATTTTACACTTGAGAACGTTGATACCTTCAGGGCCCTGGAACCAATCTCCTATGGTTGCCAAGGGGCAGTTCTGTTGAACCAGAGCTAGAAGCCCCAAGTTTGGTAGAGAACAGCATTACGTCTTGTCTAAAGCCTCTTTAAAAATAAA